GTACTCCTTGTGAAACAAGTTAGTGTTAAGCCCTGCTGTTGCATTCTCAATGCAAAGAAAGACCTGAATTACCCTCTAATTCCAATGTTTGTGGTAATGACACTGTTTTTCTCACTTTGTTAAAGCTTAGCAAGTGCACAGATGGCTGAACAGGCCAATCAGACTTCAGCAGATTATCTCTGCTGTGTCTTCCAGGTAGCACAGGAGCCTGCTGTCTCAAGGACTGTTCCCTCCTGGTTTTCCTCTATAAACAGGGCGGTCCTGAGTTTGAGGTTCTCTGCTTTTTGGGAATGTCCTCCGTCCTCTTGAGTCGACAAAACGTCCTGAAGCAGTCCAACCTATTTGAACATACAAAGGGAGATTTTGGACAAAAACATGACGCCTCTTTTTCATACAGATGCAAATCACAGCTGATGGAGTGCAAATCATTTTTTAGATTAACTATGAAACAACTTGAAGGTTCTTTGGTCCAGGTTCCCATCTGCAAACGAAGTGTAGGTGCTCTAAAATTCACATAAAGAAAACCAGAGGAGACAGTTTTCCCAACAAGGAACACATTCAGTCTGTGTACACGATCATCTACACAACAGATGAGATGAGACGATGCACTTTGAAGAGCTTAACTTTGTCCCTTCAGTGGAGTTGCAGAGACCTGCACAATCAAGGCAGTCTGCAATGGCCCAACAGCTGCCGTGAAGTATGAAGAGATAATAGGACTCGATGTTTTTGATCCCTGTGGTAAGTCGTTGCTCTTGATGTTGACAGCAGGATTGAAGTGATGAAAGAGAGGGGTAGGCATGCCATTGAGGTCATCAGGTGGGTATCCTCCTCCTTTGATGTTTCAATGATAAACCAGCAACATCTCCAGAGGGCTTGTCAGAGACAGCTGGTGTCCACAGAAAACCCCCCTCAGATTCAGACCCTCCCGTCTTCAGCTTAGCTGTCGTTCTCATTTCAATCACAAGCCAAGTGTTACTTTTCCCTGCTGGATTTGGCAAAGACTGGATTTCTTTTTTATCAAGAAAACTGACCTCCCTCACCTTCACTGTCTTCAAAAAACTGATCATAGATGAAGAGGGAAAACAAACTACATCCCACCCGTCTTACAACCATTGGGGGCAACTTCACCACCTTCCCACGGTTAATGTTGCAAACATTGACTGTGATTGTTCCAACTTGATCATAACAGTTATTGCATTGAGCAACTCATCTAAACCAACATAATTTCTCCTTTATGTTATCACCACAGAGCTAAGAGCTAACTCCTTTACCAACACTCTAACCTCGAAACTATTAAGGTAACCATAATTTAACTTCAAAAGAAGAAAAATGTTCACATTTGAGATGCTGACAATGTGAAATGATTGAGGTCCATTTCATATGACAAATACCTCCATTAAAAAAATGATTATTAAATTAAATGCAGGTCAGCTTTTGAACCATGGATGAGTTTGCTTATTTAAAAAAACAGCTGGAGCTTAGCTTTTACCCACCAGTGTTTGTTTGTTTTTTTTGTTTGTTTGTTTTTTAAAGTTAGTTCTACACTATTCGTTACAGCAAGTCTTGAATTGTAAAAAAAACATTGAATAATAAAATTGATATTAAAAAAGTGAAATGCTTTGTTTGTGTTTTTTTAAATCACAAATTTAAAATACTCTAGAAAAGCTCAAGAACTTTGAATCTGTATTGAGTGAAAGTGCTTGAGTAAATGTATACATGAACATTGCTCCACCTGGTCCAACACACTTTGAGTTTGGAAACCTGTTTTAGAGTTGGGGTGAAGAGTTGTAGAGTTGCTTGTTTCATGTTGTTTTTGGTGCTGTGGGTGAATCAAATAACACCCCTTTAACTGAAGGTGTTGGCCTTCCTCAGGCAAAGTTTAGTAGAGACGGACCTCAGCCATTGGCCAGATTTTTCCAGCAGAAACCTTTAATGTTTGTGCTTCAACTCTGCTTCTGAGAAGTCTGTTATAAGATACTGACACTTTCTTTCATTGTGCTTCAATTGTATTTAATTAAAATTGTGATGACAAAAGCATGACGATTGTCATAAATTGCTCGCCATCTGATGGCCTCTGTTGATCATTTATCTTCTTGCAATAACTGCCTGTATATATATATATATATATATGTATATATATATATATATATATATATATATATATATATATATATACACACACATATATATACATATATATATATATACATATATATTAAGAGCCATACATTTTTGTATATACATTATTAATCCTCTTGGGCTGTTGTTCTTCCCCTTTCTTCCTTGAAGTCTCCTCTAATTTGTCTCCACGAAAAGTCCCCCCAGGACCCTCACAGTAAAGAAAATGATGCACTCCTGTCAAGCTGTAAACATCAGTTTAATGTTGTCACACAAAAGATGAGAGAGAAGGTATTTTTGTCAGACTTTTTCTTTGGCGTTGTTGCGTAATCTACCCAGTCATTATGATACCATGGGTTTGGTTGGTATGTGCAAATCTTAACCTTGACATCCTTTATTCAGTCAAAGCCTCCCACACTGGGCTCTCAAGACACCCTTCTTGTGGGACCTTGACTCCAGGTCATTTTGTTGTGTTTTTGAACCACACTCACGTAAGCCAAGAAAACACACACATGCGCAAACCTCCTTCCCCTCCTCCTCCTCCTCCTCCTCCTCCTCCTCCTCCAATTATCCATACAGTTGATGAGTTTAGAACTGGGGTCCGGGGATATTACCCTGTCTTCCTCTTTTAGCTCCACTCTTATTCAGTAGACTCCCATAAATCTAAAAGCATATCTACAAAGTTGTCAACATGTTGTACTTGCGGAGAAAAAAATACGACAGGGGGCAGGAAATAGCAGGAAAACAACAAATACAGTTAAAAATGTAAGTTGACACTGCTGAAAATCTTGATTATTTGATTTTAAGAGTTAGAACTTTTAACTCTCCTGGTGTGATGCACATAGAGTGATGTAATACTTTTCAAAAATCCCTTTTGACATTGTCAGAGGTGTTATAACATGTAAAATTTATGTTGTACTAAAAAAGTGTCATCATTTCCTAGTTTCAAACACCATGAGAAAAATAACAAATGCTAAGACAGCATGAAGGTGCAAAAACTTTATTCCATTTCCTTACCATGCATGAAATTTTTTGTATTCTTTCCAGGTTTACCTTTTTGGGGCAATCTTTTCCTCGGAGTATTAAAACTCTACAACTAGTCGAGTGGAGCAGCCACCTCACCCAAGTCATTACTTCATCCATTTTATTCATTGAGTTGTCATACAGTGTGTTCACGCCTGAGTGCGACTCTTCTGCCCTGTGGGCCACAGTCAGGTAGATGCAGAAACCTCGGCTTATGGCTGGGGTGATTCTGTCTGCGGCCGTCAGGGTGAGAGGAAATAACGTATTTTTTGATAAGAAGCAAGGATGCAGTTTGAGGCAAGTGGTGAGACCACACAACCACCCACAGGAGAAAGTACAGGTCATGTGATACAAGTTATTTCTGTTGTGAACTCAGAAAATCTTAAATGACAGAAAAGAGGAATTTCAATGAAATTAATATGCCTTTTGAGTCAGACAAGTGATGGAGTCTACTTACATGTTAAGGACTGAATATTTGCAATTTTGCCATTTGTTGTGTAATTGCATGAATAGATGTAACAGACTGAGAATTTTACAACTCAAGTCCCAAATTTATCAGATAACTGTAAATTAATAATCAACATTTTAGCAGCAGATTAATTCACAAGAGTCTCCTTTTCTTTAAATCAAATTGGCACGAAATAATAAAGCAATTTAACATTAGAAATCAGATCAGTGTTTCCCCTGGAATTCTTTTTCAGCAGCAGCACTGCTGTATCCGTGTGTGTGTGTGTGTGGTGTGTGTGTGTGTGTGCTTGTGCTTGTGTGTGTGTTTGGGGGTGTCGCTGTTACCCCGACTCTTTTGCTCAAGGAGCTATGCCGTTACTTTCAAGTTATGTTACCCGCGCTACTCGCTATATAGACTGTGTATAAGCTTGAACGTTATCCTTCACATTAATGGAGGAGGGTCCGATGGGATTTGATGCACTTGTTGATGACTCAAAATAAGTCAAAAATAATGCTGCGTGTTGCTGTGCTCACACAGTGTGAGAAGAAATCATTAGTGATGCATTGATATTAATGATCATGTGAAATTTTAGTAGCGGCGCATGTAATTCAGCAGCGGCGGAATGAATGTAGGGGAAACACTGTAGATATCTGAATTCACTATTTTAATATTCTCAGCCTCAATGAAGACATCGGCATTGGTGGGCTGTTTATTGGTTTTAAACACACACACAAAAACATGCCTTTTGCTTTACTAATGTTAAAGCTGAGACATGACTGGTCAGTCCACACCTCCATGGCAGTTGATAATTATCTCTCCCTTAAACATGTGCATACAGAGCAGTGTCCTTGGCATAGATTGGCAGATCTATCCCATGGTACTGTTGTAGGAGACCATTATTGTAGAGGGTAAATAGTAGGAGGCCTAACTCAGAACCCTGAGGAACACCTATCATATACCTCATATTACTAGACTGAGCACCACAAGCATGAACAGACATAAGAGGAAATCCAAGCTCGAACCTGGGATGAAATATAAAATTTAGAAAGCCTTGAAACTGGTACATTGTGATTGACTGTATCAAAAGATTGATGCAAATCTAACAAAACTACTTTGTCTAGCATAGATTTAATTTGCTCTATTCAATGTACTGTGTCCTGTACTTTCAGTAGAGTGGTTGCATCTGAAGCCAAGCTGCGTAGAATCTAGACCAAAGTTGCTTGTGTCAAGTCACGTTGTCAGTTGTTTGACTCCAAAAATCTCAACCTGTATCATTTCAATAGTTCTTGTTGGTCTGAAAGTAGCTGCATGAATGAACTGCCAAATCTTAGCCTGCTGATAAAATCTGTGCCATAAAATAGGCCCCTTTTTGTAAGATGTATCAACACTGGACGGACAAAACCTCTTTCAAATGCTCGATTTTTCACATAACACCACTAAGTGTAAGGCTGTCAGCCAGTTGTATGGGAGGTAAGACTGAGTCCAGATCCTGTGGAGGTGTGCTGGGCTCTGCAGTGAATGCTGTGCACTTTGAGGAGGGTGACAGAAAAGAACAGCACATTCCTACAAAGCTCCTCACCATAGTTCTTACACCCAAAGCAACACAATGTTTCTTTCACTCTTCAATTGGCTCCCATTACCAACCTCCTGACAATGAAAACACCGACTGTCTGCAACAATAAATCACTCCCTGTTTGTGTTTCAGGCTGCCTGAGCTTGCAGAAGCTAAATTCAGAGACATACTGTAGATGCTCTCAAAGAGAAGTTAGACTTCCCAAATGTGCAAAAAGAGGAAAGTAGAGTAGCTGCACGGGGTTATTTCAGGGTAAGTTGATATTTATCTGCTGCACAGTGTAATATTATGATGTTATGCTTCCAGGATTGATGTGTGGATATTTAAGAATTTTGAAGTGCTTGCTGCCTTTTATGCTTACCTTGCAGTATAGGGATAGTATATCAAGGGTATGAATGGTGCTTTTAAGTTCTGCCTTTCCTGATACATTTTACACCAAATGCAATGTTTGTAGTCTTGGTAAAGGTGGAGGAGTCCAAGTTGGAATATACATCAAGGTAATCACAAAGTCAGATTTTTCCTTTTGCCCAAAATTGAATTGCTCATATAAACAAGTCAGAGCTTTGTTATTATTATTATTATTATTATTATTATTATTATTATTATTTAAAAAAGCATATTCAGTGTTTCCAAAATGAACACTCTGTAGACCTCACATATGCCTTAACAAACCATGATGATAATGCTCACAAAAGCAACAATTTCTGAATCTGAGTGTTGTGCAATAGTAAACAGTATTAATTTGTTATATCCCCAGGCAACTTATTCAATGGATAAATATATTCAGTAGTTGTAGCCCTAGGCAAAAATAAAGTTTCTTTAAGAGTTTAGACTTATTTCAGAATTTTACACAAATTTGCAGTTGCATTCATTTCAACCAATTAGGGAGAGACAAATTTATTTAAAAGGCATGCTGTCTCAAAACATCATTGCTTTTTTTATTTTATTTACTAAGTGTGTTTGAAATCTTAAAGCAGAAACGGGAAGCTTCATAATCTTATTGGAGTTATTTTGTACTTCCAGTCTATACAGACATGTAATAACTTGCCCATCTTCTTATACTAATAGTATAGTCTGGTAATCAGCGCTATTATCATGACAGACCATAAACCTAATCAGTGTCCTTACATGTCTAGGATACGGGATGTGCAGTATGTTTCAATGAGTCATTAAAAAATTATGGAAAGATATGAGAAGTATTAATAGTTATACTGTCGCTTAATTCCTATTCTGCAATGGAAGCCACAAACTCTTGACTATCATCCACAGAGGCTGAATTTTTATTATAAATGATACACAGGTAATGTATGCAGATTTGCTGGCCAGGTTTCGTACTGCAGATTTATTTTTGTTTTTCATTGTATTTTGAGAAGAAGCTTATGAGAAACAGCCGAAAAGCCCTGAGGCCAAACATATGGAAATAATACAAGAGTGAGCTAGAAATTGTCTCTATGAGAGTAGTACCTCCTTTGGCTTTTTTATTCCTCATTTAAAACAAATATTCTATATTTATTTAATTTAATTCAATTCAATTTAATGTATCTAACTCTGAAGGGAAGAGCTTGGATTTCAACAGCCTTTAAGTTCACTGATCGTCCGGTTATATGACCGTTTATCCTTCCTTTATTCTAAAGCAGACACGACCACTACTGCTGAAGGTGTATGACAGGGTTGTGTGTGTGTGTGTGTGTGTATGTGTGTGCCGGTGTGTGTGTGTGTATGTGTGTGTGTATATATCTGTCTATAGTGGCCGGCAGCCTTTGTCCCTCAGCACTCAGACTTCCTGATTGCTGTTATTTGGTCAGCCATGGCACCCGCTTGCTGCAATTTGCAAGACGCAAGAGGTTGTGGTTGCGCGCGTGTGCGTGTGTGTGTTGAAGAGAGAGAGAAGAGAAAGAAGGAGAAGACGAAGGAGGAGAGTGTGGCAATTTGGAGTAAGCACAAGTGTGTATCTCTCTAAATTTGTGTGTGCGTGTGTGTGTGTAGACAGTTCAAGTAGCAATTTGGAGTAAGCAAGTGTGTGCGTGTCTCTGTGTGTCTGTGTCTGTGTGTGCATGTGTGTGTGTTTGTGTGTGTCGACAGCTCCAGCAGCTTTTCGAGTGGCTACTTTGATGTCTGACCCACTTTGGCTGTTGCTGAGTATAAAGCTATTTATTTAGTTTCGAGTGTATGTGTGTGTGTGTGTGTGTGTGTGTGTGTGTGTGTTCTGGTATTCATCGCCTCATGAGGACAAAAGTCTGTTTACACAGTCACCTCATGGGGACCTCTTGCAGTTTGGGGACCAAAATTGAGGTCCCCATGAGGGAAACCCTTTTAAATGATTGCAGGAGCTCCTCTGATGTTGCCTATGTGATTTTTAGAGTTGGCCCAAAAAGCATGTTTATCCACTAGTGTGTGTGTGTGTGGCATGCACAGTAGCCCCCTCTATAGTTTTTGGCTGGTAATGCACTTGTTGGCTCCACACACACATATTCCAAATATGGGTAGGAACCGCCTACTTCCCAGTCCCCATTAGGAACAATAATATCGCCGACATAATTTTGAGTGTTTAAGTTGTCTTCAGAGAAATAAGTGCACGGTGGACACAGAGGATTGTTTGATGAAGATGCAAAGACTCACAGGATTTCTTTACAAAGGAATGACAGAGATGCAAAAGGTAAGCACCTAAGTTCAACAAACTTTTTACTACTGCACGAAAGTTTGTAATTCAGACCATAAATACTAGGATAACTCAGCTTAAACGCCTCAGATGTTTTAAGACATCTTTTTAACCAGTTACAATTTAATAAAAAGGAGACAAATTCAAATCAAAATTAGTGATAGGTAGGCTCATGGTTCAATACATCAAGAAAAGCTAATTGTTTCTCTTCATAAGATTAAGCTTCACGATACAAAACTAGCTTTCAGATAAAACTATCTCAGCTGCATTAAAACTTTCTCCAACTTCATAGTATCAATACTATATATATATATATATATATATATATATATATCTATATATATATACACACATATATAAAAACAAAGGTCTGACTAAGGTAATTTGTGTATTTTTTAAATACAATTCAAACAGTCAAACGAAATGCGATTTCCATCTTTTAAAAAAGTGAAATTTGAGTTTCTAGATGGAAATTATGACAACATTAAAATACTGACGTGAGAATACAACTTCCTATCCGTGGCTTTTATTTTGACATCATGGAGGAAGTCAAGTATGTTTTAAGTCTGAACGTAACATCGAGCCACGGTTGAAATGCAGCTGATGGTAATCAGGAAAACGGAGAGCATGGTGCAGGATCTCAGACACATGCAGTAAGTGCCAGGTGTTTTTACAGACTTTTATATTTTCAGAAGTAAAGAAGAAATGACATAGCAGGGGTTTCTGATTGATTTGTAGTTTTACAGCTTTTCCACAGTGTCGACATTCAGCACATCAGTTAGCTAGCTAAGACGTTATTTAGCTAACCCCTTTAGTTGGATCAAAAGTTTTCACCTGTCCAGTGTCAGTTTGACAAAATTTAGGTCCAGATCATTAAAATAATTACCAGAGACTTTCTAGAAGTAAGATACAGTGTAAGTTTTTATGATTTTGTGAGATTTAGAAGTTGGTTTGGGGTGTTCAGTGGGCAGTGAGTAATGACTTAACAGATGATTAGTAAATACTGTGTAGAATATGAGACTAAATTCTCTAGAAGACTTCAGTAATAAATGAATTATAGAGTTTATCGTTGGAAAAAATATTGGCAGCGTCTGACAACTATTACAAAGATTATCAATGACCTTGACATCCTTTCATAATATGAAAGAAATAAGGGCTGTATGAGTGAAAACTCTTACTGGTCTTTTTAATGTATACAGTGACTAAAATGGTTACAAATTCTGACTAAAATTCACAAATAGTCCACACTAAACCAGCAATAGACTAAAATTTAATGTAATGTTCTTTACAGCTTAACACTGGTTTGAATTGGGTTTTGAAATCAAATGTAAAACACCTCTGCATATATAGATCTAATACCATTAAAGCCTTCATAATGTGACTACATTTATTGCAGGTTTGAAATATATCCCTTGGTTTGAAATGCCACCACGGATAAGCCCTCTTAAAGATGCCAGTCATCATGTTTTGTCAAGGTCTGACAAGATATCCAAATTAGAGGTGAAGTTTATCAATGCAATAAAAGGTAAGGTGACAGGACATATTTGTGAATTACTCCTTATGTATACAATTGCCATCTCATAAGTATTTGATGTAAGATGTCAGGATAAACTAGTTAAGCTAGAGATTGCAGCTTTGTATAGGCTTACTATCTCTTGAGGTCTAAATTAATACACAGCATTAAGGTCTCACTTTTCTGTTAAATGTTTCTGCTATCTTTTTTAGGACGTGGTGTATTTGCAAAGACTCCTTTTTGCAAAGGAGATTTTGTTGTTGAATACAGGGGAGATTTGATAACGGATGCAGAATACAGCAGCAGAAGAAAACTTTACCACCCATCATGTGCTGCATTTATGTTTGCATTTCAGTGGAGAGGGAAAACATGGTGGTAGGATGACACTCTACTATCAAAGGGTTTTGACTTTCTTAAGAAATACTGTGATATTTAGTTTCTCATTGTCTTGTGTTTTGATTTTTCAAGCATTGATGCATCAAGAGAAGATGAATCATATGGGCGACTGGTCAATGATGAACACAGGTCTCCAAACTGTAAGATGAAAAAAATTGAGGTGACCGGAAACCCACACCTTTGTTTGTTTGCACTGAACGACATTAAAGAGGGAGAAGAAATAACCTATGATTATGGAGATGCTGACTGCCCATGGCGAACACAAGTATGTTGCACTAAGATTGGCTCATTTTTTAAAACTGAAGTAAAAAAGTAATTCAAGATACATAAAAATTTATATGTTCAAAGGTGGCTGAGGAAACTGTGAAAGGGTCAAGCAAGTCCCTCCACTCCAATGTCCCAAAGGATAAGCACATAAAGCATACTCGCCAAAAGGTACATTGCATCCATCTCAGCCCCCAGTGAAGTGTTCTTAACATGTGTTTAATTCAGTGCATTTTTTATCAAGTCTAATAAGTATTCACTATCAAAATTTATAGTTTTACAATGTGTATCAACAGGAGGCTAGGACCCTACTAAACTTCCTGGAGGTGGACATCCCCAATCCCTCCACCCAGCCGAAGGCTACCAAAGATGACACCATTGGTCAAGATAGCACCTCTGATCAGGTGAGTCATATTTATCACCTTACATTTCATATTAAAACCATTCTTCTGTCAGATTTGATGTCTTACAATGCTAAAAAGTGACAAAATAGGGTAAAAAATCATGAAATTCAGTTTGAACCAGTGCACTGGGCAGTCAAATGTAAACAACATAGAAGCTTGGTGGTTTGTATAAGATAAAGGTTTTGGTTTGAGCCTGCTCTGGAGTTTTCTTATTGATTTATTATCAGTGAATTGTAAACACTTACGATGTCCCCATAAGACACTTTGAGTAATTTCTCACTCTGGGTAGAGAAGCAGATTCAGACACATCTGGTCCCCACAAGGCAGCTTAATCTAGTGTGTGAAGTGTCCCCACAAAGTGTATTGTGTTTTTAGAAAAAATCCATGTGTATTATAATGTAGTTATTGCAAATTTATTCAAGTTTCAATTTCTCCAAATCAAATATATTTTTGTTATTTGATCCACAGGAGACTAGGGGCCTACTGCATAACCCGGAGGTGGACATCCCCAATCCCTCCACACAGCCACAGGCTACCAAAGATGACACCATTGGTCAAGATAGCACCTCTGATCAGGTGAGTCATATTTATCACCTTACATTTCATATTAAAACCATTCTTCTGTCAGATTTGATGTCTTACATTGCTAAAAAGTGAAAAAATAGGGTAAAAAATCATGAAATTCAGTTTGAACCAGTGCACTGGGCAGTCAAATGTAAAGAACATAGAAGCTTGGTGGTTTGTATAAGATAAATGTTTTGGTCTGAGCCTGCTCTGGAGTTTTCTTATTGATTTATTATCAGTGAATTGTAAACACTTACAATGTCCCCATAAGACACTTTGAGTCAGTTTCTCACTCTGGGTAGAGAAGCAGATTCAGACACATCTGGTCCCCACAAGGCAGCTTAATCTCGTGTGTGACGCGTCCCCACAAAGCCTGTTGTGTTTTTAGAAAAATTCCATGTGTATTTTAATGTAGTTATGGCAAATTTATTCTTTTTTTATTTCTCTAAATCAAATATATTTTTGTTATTTGATCCACAGGAGACTAGGGGCCTACTGCATAACCCGGAGGTGGACATCCCCAATCCCTCCACACAGCCACAGGCTACCAAAGATGACACCATTGGTCAAGATAGCACCTCTGATCAGGTGAGTCATATTTATCACCTTACATTTCATATTAAAACCATTCTTCTGTCAGATTTGATGTCTTACAATGCTAAAAAGTGACAAAATAGGGTAAAAAATCATGAAATTCAGTTTGAACCAGTGCACTGGGCAGTCAAATGTAAACAACATAGAAGCTTGGTGGTTTGTATAAGATAAATGTTTTGGTCTGAGCCTGCTCTGGAGTTTTCTTATTGATTTATTATCAGTGAATTGTAAACACTTACAATGTCCCCATAAGACACTTTGAGTCAGTTTCTCACTCTGGGTAGAGAAGCAGATTCAGACACATCTGGTCCCCACAAGGCAGCTTAATCTCGTGTGTGACGCGTCCCCACAAAGCCTGTTGTGTTTTTAGAAAAATTCCATGTGTATTTTAATGTAGTTATGGCAAATTTATTCTTTTTTTATTTCTCTAAATCAAATATATTTTTGTTATTTGATCCACAGGAGACTAGGGGCCTACTGCATAACCCGGAGGTGGACATCCCCAATCCCTCCACACAGCCACAGGCTACCAAAGATGACACCATTGGTCAAGATAGCACCTCTGATCAGGTGAGTCATATTTATCACCTTACATTTCATATTAAAACCATTCTTCTGTCAGATTTGATGTCTTACAATGCTAAAAAGTGACAAAATAGGGTAAAAAATCATGAAATTCAGTTTGAACCAGTGCACTGGGCAGTCAAATGTAAACAACATAGAAGCTTGGTGGTTTGTATAAGATAAAGGTTTTGGTTTGAGCCTGCTCTGGAGTTTTCTTATTGATTTATTATCAGTGAATTGTAAACACTTACGATGTCCCCATAAGACACTTTGAGTAATTTCTCACTCTGGGTAGAGAAGCAGATTCAGACACATCTGGTCCCCACAAGGCAGCTTAATCTAGTGTGTGAAGTGTCCCCACAAAGTGTATTGTGTTTTTAGAAAAAATCCATGTGTATTATAATGTAGTTATGGCAAATTTATTCAAGTTTCGATTTCCCCAAATCAAATATATTTTGTAATGTGTATCCACAGGAGACTAGGGGCCTACTGAACAACATGGAGGTGGACATCCCCAATCCCTCCACACAGCCACAGGCTACCAAAGATGACACCATTGGTCAAGATAGCACCTCTGATCAGGTGAGTCATATTTATCACCTTACATTTCATATTAAAACCATTCTTCTGTCAGATTTGATGTCTTACAATGCTAAAAAGTGACAAAATAGGGTAAAAAATCATGAAATTCAGTTTGAACCAGTGCACTGGGCAGTCAAATGTAAACAACATAGAAGCTTGGTGGTTTGTATAAGATAAAGGTTTTGGTTTGAGCCTGCTCTGGAGTTTTCTTATTGATTTATTATCAGTGAATTGTAAACACTTACGATGTCCCCATAAGACACTTTGAGTAATTTCTCACTCTGGGTAGAGAAGCAGATTCAGACACATCTGGTCCCCACAAGGCAGCTTAATCTAGTGTGTGAAGTGTCCCCACAAAGTGTATTGTGTTTTTAGAAAAAATCCATGTGTATTATAATGTAGTTATGGCAAATTTATTCAAGTTTCGATTTCCCCAAATCAAATATATTTTGTAATGTGTATCCACAGGAGACTAGGGGCCTACTGAACAACATGGAGGTGGACATCCCCAATCCCTCCACACAGCCACAGGCTACCAAAGATGACACCATTGGTCAAGATAGCACCTCTGATCAGGTGAGTCATATTTATCACCTTACATTTCATATTAAAACCATTCTTCTGTCAGATTTGATGTCTTACAATGCTAAAAAGTGAAAAAATAGGGTAAAAAATCATGAAATTCAGTTTGAACCAGTGCACTGGGCAGTCAAATGTAAACAACATAGAAGCTTGGTGGTTTGTAAGAGATACAGGTTTTGGTCTGAGCCTGCTCTGGAGTTTTCTTATTGATTTATTATCAGTGAATTGTAAACACTTACAATGTCCCCATAAGACACTTTGAGTCAGTTTCTCACTCTGGGTAGAGAAGCAGATTCAGACACATATGGTCCCCACAAGGCAGCTTAATCTTGTGTGTGACGCGTCCCCACAAAGCCTGTTGTGTTTTTTGAAAAATTCCATGTGTATTTTAATGTAGTTATGGCAAATTTATTCTTTTTTTATTTCTCTAAATCAAATATATTTTTGTTATTTGATCCACAGGAGACTAGGGGCCTACTGCATAACCCGGAGGTGGACATCCCCAATCCCTCCACACAGCCACAGGCTACCAAAGATGACACCATTGGTCAAGATAGCACCTCTGATCAGGTGAGTCATATTTATCACCTTACATTTCATATTAAAACCATTCTTCTGTCAGATTTGATGTCTTACAATGCTAAAAAGTGACAAAATAGGGTAAAAAATCATGAAATTCAGTTTAAACCAGTGCACTGGGCAGTCAAATGTAAACAACATAGAAGCTTGGTGGTTTGTATGAGATACAGGTTATGGTCTGAGCCTGCTCTGGAGTTTTCTTATTGATTAATTATCAGTGTATTGTAAACACTTACGATGTCCCCATAAGACACTTTGAGTCAGTTTCTCACTCTGGGTAAAGAAGCAGATTCAGACACATCTGGTCCCCACAAGGCAGCTTTATCTAGTGTGTGAAGTGTCCCCACAAAGTGTATTGTGTTTTTAGAAAAAATCCATGTGTATTATAATGTAGTTATTGCAAATTTATTCAAGTTTCAATTTCTCCAAATCAAATATATTTTGTTATGTGTATCCACAGGAGACTAGGGGCCTACTGAACAACATGGAGGTGGACATCCCCAATCCCTCCACACAGCCACAGGCTACCAAAGATGACACCATTGGTCAAGATAGCCCCTCTGATCCACAGGAGACTAGGGGCCTACTGCATAACTGGGAGGTGGACATCCCCAATCCCTCCACCCAGCCACAGGCTACCAAAGATGACACCATTGGTCAAGATAGCACCTCTGATCAGGTGAGTAATATTTATCACCTTACATTTCATTTTATTACAATTTTTTGTCATGTTTGATGTCTTACAATGCTAAAAAGTGAAAAAATAGGGTAAAAAATCATGAAATTCAGTTTGAACCAGTGCACTGGGCAGTCAAATGTAAACAACATAGAAGCTTGGTGGTTTGTATGAGATACAGGTTTTGGTCTGAGCCTGCTCTGGAGTTTTCTTATTGATTTATTATCAGTGAATTGTAAACACTTACGATGTCCCCATAAGACACTTTGAGTCAGTTTCTCACTCTGGGTAGAGAAGCAGATTCAGACACATGTGGTCCCCTTAAGGCAGCTTAATCTAGTGTGTGACGCGTCCCCACAAAGCCTGTTGTGTTTTTAGAAAAAATCCATGTGTATTATAATGTAGTTATGTCAAATTTATTCTTTTTTAATTTTTCTAAATCAAATATATTTTTGTGATTTGATCCACAGGAGACTAGGTGCCTACTGCACAACATGGAGGTGGACATCCCCAATCCCTCCACACAGCCACAGGCTACCAAAGATGACACCATTGGTCAAGATAGCCCCTCTGATCAGGTGAGTCATATTTATAACCTTACATTTCATATTAAAACCATTCTTCTGTCATATTTGATGTCGCATAATGCTAAAAAGTGACAAAATAGGGTAAAAAATCATGAAATTCAGTTTGAACCAGTGCACTGGGCAGTCAAATGTAAAGAACATAGAAGCTTGGTGGTTTGTATGAGATACAGGTTTTGGTTTGAGCCTGCTCTGGAGTTTTCTTATTGATTTATTATCAGTGTATTGTAAAAACACTTAAGATGTCCCCATAAGACACTTTGAGTAATTTCTCACTCTGGGTAGAGAAGCAGATTCAGACACATGTGGTCCCCACAAGGCAGCTTAATCTAGTGTGTGAAGTGTCCCCACAAAGCCTGTTGTGTTTTTAGAAAGATTCCATGTGTATTATACTGTAGTTATGTCAAATTTATTCAAGTTTTGATTTCTCTAAATCAAAAATATTTTGTAATGTGTATCCACAGGAGACTAGGGGCCTACTGAACAACTGGGAGGTGGACATCCCCAATCCCTCCACCCAGCTGGAGGCTCTGATAGATGACACCATGGGTCAGGATAAAACCTCTGATCAGGTGAGTCATATATATAACTTTTCAATTCATTTAAAACCTTTTCTTTTAAAATAAGATAGGGTTAAATTAGAAGCACCTGTTGATCCTCTATGGGAAATGTCATTACTTTCATGTTTTTTTTTTTCTTATACAGCTAAAAAGTGACAAAATTGGGTAAAAAATCATGAAATTCAGTTTGAACCAGTGAATTAGGCAGTCAATTGTAAAGTTTGTAGAAGCTCGGTAGTTTGTATGAGATACAAGATCAATCTGAGCCTGCTCTGGAGTTTTCTTATTTATTAATTTTCAGTACATTGTGAACACTTACGATGTCCCCATAAGACACTTTGAGTAATTTCTCACTCTGGGTAGAGGACCAGATTCAGACACATCTGGTCCCCACAAGGCAGCTTAATCTAGTGTGTGAAGTGTCCCCACAAAGCCTGTTGTGGTCAATAGAAAAATCCTGCATATATTATTTAATATAAACATCAAGGCACCTTATCTGTAATGTACTAGCTTTTTACATGCTTAACACAGCCTTAAAAAAAATGCCATACTGCCAATATATCCACTGCACTGATAAAATTTGGTAGTAAAGGGACAATTCAATTTTATTAAGTGTATATTCTGTTATATTGGAAATATGATGTTTATAGTTTCTTTTGTTGTCAGATTGTCGCCTCTCAGAGTGACGTTGAGATCTCTGTGCCAAAGTTGAGACGGACCAAAAGTGTCATTGTAAGTTTCAAAATTGAAGTCATTAAATATAAGAGCCGTGAATGCCTCTGACTTTTTCTCAAAGCTGAGGGAAATGGCAAATGTAAAGACATTCCACATTTCAGTATTCAAAACATCTCTGAAGAAATTTTTTTTGTCTTAGTTTTCAGCAAATTTGATGTAAGGTTTAAAGTCAGATCATGAATATGCAATATTAATCTAACTGTGTTTAAAACATGAGAGTAGACACCTGTCTCATTGCATCTTAGAAATGTTACTAGTCTGGATCTTTGGCTGTTTTTCACTTAAGTGAGAGACCTGTCTCTTGTCAAGGCCAAAGTTGTGTGCAAATATAACTGAGTGGCCTCATGGTTACCAAGACCTGGCAGAGGTTTTGTCTTAGTGAACACTGTAAAGAAGCAATTGAGCATAATTGTACATGCTTTCCAAAACTGAAATAACAAAATCAGTCCATAACATATGTTTCCCTTGAATATTTCTCTGTACTGTTTGTTAACCAAATTGAAAGTTTTACATATTTTGAGTTACATTTCTTTTTTTTAGATGAAAGACATAAATCTTGAAGATTCTGCTGAACTGTATGATTCTGCATCTGAGAGTGGAGATGATTACATTCCAGATACCACATGCGAAAGTGACAGTGATAGTGATACTAGCCTTCACCTTAGCCCAAAGACTCAAAGGTCTCTTGCTGACAAAACTTATGTTCCTGACCCAGTGAGCTCCCCTGAAGTTGACAGCACAACGCCAGACCATCTCTTTCTTCCATCCAAAGCCACTGGAGCAGAAGAAGAGCCTTGCTCAAGCCAGAACATAAATGACGTGATAGTTGTTACTGCATGCCAAAAGAGAGCTGGGAAAAGAGTTTATGACAAAAGACATTATTGTCTGTATTGCTCTAAGCCTTATGCAAAGATGGCCAGACATCTAGAGGCTGCACATATGGATATATCCAGTGTAGCCAAAGCTCTAAGCTTTCCAAAGGGCTCCAAGAAAAGAAAATTACAACTAGATTATATTCGCAACCAAGGGAACTTTGCACACAATGCTGCAGTCATGGAGTCAGGAAAGGGGAAACTTGTTGCATTCAAACGACCAGTTGAAGAGTTAGAGGGAAAGGACTTTATGCATTGTGCATATTGCCAAGCACTTTTTACCAGAAAAGTCCTGTGGCGACACATGCGTAGATGTAGACTCAGACCTGAATCAGTCACCCCCAAACCAGGAAAGAACCGTGTCCAGTCCATGTGTAAATATGCAGAACCTGTGCCTTCCTACATAAAAAAAGAACTGTGGGAAGTAATCAGTAGCATGAATCCTGACCCAATCACTGACATCATAAAAAATGACAAAGTCATTCTTGATATTGGACAACACTTGCTAAACAAAGGTGGGTCATCAGACAAAAATAAACAGAATGTGAGAGAGAAGATGCGAGAATTGGGAAGGTTGATCAAGAGTGCCAGGAGAGGCACCACATTAAACAAAATGGAGGACCTCATCAATCCAGAGAAGTACATGGAGACTGTCAAAGCTGTCAAGCTTACATGTGGGTATGAAAGTGACACAAACAAGTTCCTCATTCCATCACTGGCTATCAAACTTGGAAATGCCCTGGTTAAAGCAAGCAAACTATTAAAAGCTCAGGCTTTAATATCCAACAACAACGAGCTTGTGAAGAATGCCAGTGGGTTTCAAGAGGTGCATCAGGAGAAGTGGAATGAAGTGATCTCAGCAACTGCCTTGAGAAACATCAGGGAAGCAAAGTGGAATGTCCCTACTCTTATGCCCTTTACCCAAGATGTCCAAAAGATGCACACTTATCTCAGTCAAATGCAAGATGAGTGGCACAAATCTCTCTCAGAAAGTCCCTCTACAAGAGCCTGGATGGAGCTGGCAAAGGTGTGTTTGGCCCAGATTATTCTCTTTAACCGTCGCAGGGAGGGTGAGGTGTCAAGCATGCCCTTATCGGCATTTTTATCAAGAGACTCCACTGATGCACATGAGGATGTGGACTGGGCACTCTCTGAAGTGGAGAAAAAGCTGTGCAGACACTTCTCAAGGATTGTCATCAGAGGTAAACGTGGTCGGCCGGTCCCAATACTTCTGACTCCAAAAATGCTGTGTTTACTGGAACTCCTTGTCAAACAGAGAGAGGCTTGTGGGGTTCTAAATGAAAACTGTTATATGTTCGCAAGACCAGGAGCAATGTCACATTTCCGAGGTTCAGACTGCCTCCGTAGCTTTGCAAAGGGGTGCAATGCAAAGTGTCCAAGGTCACTGACATCGACCAGACTTCGAAAGCATGCTGCAACTCTTTCGACAGTGCTTAACATGACAGATACGGAGATGGACCAGCTGGCCAACTTTCTTGGCCATGACATCAGAATCCACCGAGAGTTCTACAGACTCCCTGAAAAGACCCTACAGCTTGCCAAGATAAGCAAGGTTCTAATGGCACTTGAGCAAGGAAGATTATCTGACTTTCATGGCAAGAACTTAGATGAAATAAGGATAGAGCCAGATGGTAAGTTATTTTATTTGACTTTTTTGTTTTGCTTTGTTTACCAGATTATTTAATTCACATTGGAAGAATGTACTCTGTACTACTTTCACAGAAAAAGTTCTTGACAGTGAAGAAGAAGAGGATGACAGGAGCATCCAGGGGGAAACTTCTACTGTTGAAGGTATGTCTTGTCAGTTAATTACTGATGACATACCAGTTACCAGCTATTCTAATACACTAGTTGTACTCTAACCCTCTGGTAAAAATTGTTAGTCCCCCATCTCAATCTTTTAATTAACTGACAGTTGAAAGGGAGAGTAAGTTATCAAGAAATCTTTACTTGGGTCTGTCATGGCATAAGATTTTTATCATGGGCCAAAAGAAATTCACTCTTTATAGAAAACTTGGCAAAAAATGACACTGTCATGTCAAATTAATCTTGAACTTTGTCTTTTTTTTGCAAAATACTCTGAACATGCTCACAAAGAGATGGAGAGAGACTACACAAATTTTGGTGATTATCCATCACCTCTGAGTTTGAGGAGATGTGTGCTCAACGAGATGATATAATTGACATTCATAAATAAATATCAATTTCTCTACACTTCTTGAAAATGTGGAATTTGGTCTTTGTCCATAGAACCATCAGCAGAGGGGTTGTGTCCTCCTACAGAAGAGAGTGAAATGCAGCAGTCAGCATCCAAAAGACGCAGACCACCATCACCAGGTGATGAGGTACCTCCAGGTGGGGCTATGAAGCCTTCCTCCAAAGGTAACTAAGCTGCTTGAATTCACACCTGATTTTCGTCTTTGCTGTTTTAATTAATAATTATTTTGATTTAAACATTTTGGTGTAGAATTGTCACTGTTGCAACTGATTTGTTTTGCTTTAGTTGCACAGAAATATCAAGATTACAAAGCTTAGGATCTTGTCAAGGGTTTCATGCTTATTCCGTTAAATACAGGGCTTTTTCAATTCATTTTAGAGGATAACCCCAATGCAGTAATAACAATTATGCAGGAGTGCTTGTACAAAATGTGCATCACATTTATTTCAAAAAGAAACAATAAAGTTCATAGCTTCATGAACTAAATGTTATTTTCAAGAGTTGAACTTTTTGAAAATTATTTTATTTACATTAAAAACAGTCCTTACTGTTTACATTCAGGCATGAAATAAATGTAAGGAAATCACACAGATGAAAATGTATTTCTATTCATCAGCGCAAATAACTACAAAAAATGGCATACACTAATTATTTTTCTTTGCCCCTTTTTTAATCACAATTTTGTTTTTCTGGCCGCCTCAAGGCAAAGCTCCCCAGAAAAAACAGAAGAAAATGCCCTGGCAACAGAGAGAGGTGCAGGCGGTGGAAAGGCACCTGAAAAGATTCATTACATCCTGCATTGTACCATCCAAAAGCGACTGTCAGAAGTGTTTAAGTGCTGAACCAGAAGCTCTGAAGGACCGCACCTGGCAGAACGTAAAGTTCTATGTGTACAACCGCATTACAGCTTTCAAAAGGAAAGTGCAACTTCAGTAATTTGAGATAACCATTCCTACGGTAGGTCATTTTTTGTTAATATTCACTTGTGGATCACACTGAACACACTGCCTCCTTCTGCACTGTATGTTCAGTGTTTCAGTGCCAACTAAAATCAGTTAGTTATTTGCAAGGAAGCGTAAAACCCTCCACACTTTTCCTTTTTCTCTCAGTCTGCTGAGTGATGTTTTTCCTTGTTTAATCTGGTTACTGAAGACCTTCTTTTGTGTCCACAGTTCACATTTTCAGTTCCTATGGAGAACTCAGGCATTAAGACTTGAAATTGTTAGAAGTTTGAGTGAGTTTATACTAAATGTGATATTGTTGGGTGTCTACTTAAATTCACACTGATGATAGAATGATGGTGATGTAATCACTTTGCAGAACTCAGGCATTAAGATTTTTTTCTTTTTTTTTTGTTATCTATTTGACTCCAAACTTTTTGTTGGTGTGTTGGATTTATTTCAGGAGTTGTATTCATTAAAAATTGAGTGTTGCCATTTAAAAAATTCTGGTGCCTCGAAGTTCATTTGGTAGGGGTAGTTTTGCTGATTTCACACAAGGTGTCAGGAGGTTGAGGAGCTGGGGCTAAAGCTGGGCGGTTGTGGTTAAAATGTATTAAAATTATTCATTAGAATAGAGAGTCTTTACCTTATTTATGAATATTACTTTAATGATACAGATGATATCATTAGACCTATGAATACATTTCAATCTCTTAACAAGCTCTTAAGGTGGCAACATATACAGCAAGACTTTTGCAAAAACCTTTTCAGACCCCAAACTTCACCTCTTTATTTACATATTGAAACTAGTCAAAATAACGAAGTTGTGTGATTGATTTGCAACAAATGTATCTTTTATTCCTGCTTAGAGTCCATCCACACATTAAACTTTAAAAAGAAATGCAATAACCAGAGGATTTACTACATTTAGATATAATAATAGTACATTTATTGCTAAGTCCCCAATAATCATGACCATTGTTGTGTTAAAAATGCAAAATTATGCAAATGATATTTAAATTTAGTCCCCATCAGTAACATTCAACCGGTTCTTTATAGGTCCCCACTTAGGATGGGGACAACATCAACTCATCAATTCAGACATTTGAAGTTGTGTATGAGCTAACAGGCCTCTGTTTAGTCTACTTGATTTTTTTCAGTCCTCCAGAGCCTTTAGAAAGGGTGGTCCCCGGAAGTAATGATCAAAACATTGGTCCTCATCAACCATGGAAACCAGTATGTGTGTGTGTGTGTGTGTGTGTGTGTGTGTGTGTGTGTGTGTGTCCGTCCCTGTATGTGTGTCTGTGTGTGTAGGCATGTGTGTAAAGCTATTTATCTGGCAGTGGACTGGAAGAGTTTTGCTGTGTGTGCTGTCGGACCCCTCAGCTTCTGCTGGTGGAGACAGCCGAACATCTTGCTCCGTCTTCTCCTCCTCCTCCTCCTCTTTCTGTCCTTCTCTTCCATCTTCACCATTTTCCTCGTTTCCCGAGCTCCTCTTCTCTCCGTCACACCGTTCCCCCTCCTCTGAGATATAATGTCTTTTCTCCATGCTTCATACTATATACCTTCATCTTCCGAGTGTCATTAGCTCTCCCTCATATCATGGTTAGTTAGGGCTCTCAGCTCTGATTGGGTGGATCTTGTTTGAAGCATTTGCCAAGCACAAAATTAATCTTTAATTTTTTTCTATTAGCAACATTTCACCATAACTGAAGCTTTTCAGACTTAATAAGTACAAACCCAAGGTTTAAAAGTGTTAGTCATAATTTTCATGGACCAAAATAGTCAACTTCGTAAAAATAATACCAACACTGATTTCTTTCCACCAACACACGCAGATTTTTGTAATGAGCTTTTTTGTTTAGCTTTTGTCCTTTAATTCCTCTGTGAACTGTTGTGTTTATAGCTTTATTCCATGAACTTTATTATCTATGTCTCAGGTGGATTTTGAATTTATTCATAAAAAAGAAAAAACATCGATTTATTGACAGGTTTCTGTGCAACGTCATCGCAGGTATACGTGCAGCCTTGGGGCAGAAAGCAGGACATTTCTTAATTGTTCACTGGCGGAGTCAACAGAGAAAGAAAATAACAGAGCTGTTGTGCTGTAAACTGCACGAATCGGCAAAAGAAACATTACGACCCTGCTCCTGGTGTTAGAAACATCTAAAACAACGTCACAACCTGGTAAACTGGGTGACATTCATGGACATTTTAAATCAGAAAGTGTTTTTCTGATTTTAATGCAATGAAAGACAACGCAATTTTTCAATGAAAAGACATTTTATTGCAATTGTGTCAGGGAGAACTTGCAAACAATACGGCAACTTCATTGATATCAGTTCACCTCGAAGCAGGCTTTTTGCCCCATGGTTGCGCACACCTAGTATTGTTTGTACACAAGAAACCCATCTATATTTTTAAATTTCAGACCATTAAATTAATGTCAGAAGCTGAAGTGATCTACCACGGTGTCTTCGTCAGTGGACCTACTCTTCAAAATACCATTTCACTCATGAAAGTATCAACGTAAATATCAAATCGTTTCTCGCGTCGCAACTTGATGTTTCGATGTGAAAGTGCGGACTATGAGGGTCTGGTTGTGGGTGAAGTTGGGGTCACTGTTGGGTCAAACAAAGACATGACCCAGAAGGCCAGGTTTGATTCTTATGTGAAAGTTAACAGTCTTTATTCTTTTTACACACTTCATGACATTTTCTTAAAGAGTATTTTAAGACAATCAGTTCCTGATTTTGTCAGAAACTTTATGTTCAGGATAGTCATCCTCCTAATTCACTCAGAGGAGCTCAGCTAATCACACCCAAACTTTTCGAAAGTTAGAAATAGTTTTCCAATATATAAAACTGGGATGCAATCTGCTCTTTATAAGTTAGTTAAAAGCCAGATAACCAGTTTAGTTAAAAGTGAGTCCAGGGAAGGGGGACCAAAGAGTTTCACATGTAGGAGGAAGAGATGACTGTTCTGTGTTAAAATTGGTGCATGATGAGGAAGGGTTTTTATGACATCCTGACACATCTTCAAACAAAAACAGTTTAACTGATGTCCTAAATTCATTCCTCTCGGGTCAAATAAAGTGAGCTAAAGTTGGGGGCTCAGCTAACTGAGTGGAGAAGTTGGAGGGAAGCTGTGACTGGATTGCGTTTGACCTTTGATTTGAAATGAAAACTTCCATGATGATGGAAACCTCCTCACCATGCGTTTGGATTTAACTCAGGTTGGTGCCGTTGAAGGTAAATACACACTTTGATCCACCTGCTCGGTCTCCACACTCTGACTTTGCACTTTGTAATTTCACTGTCAGAGTTCTGACTGCTGCATGTACCGCTGCCCACTTCATGTGCTGCTTTTCATGTTGCAGGGAAACATATTTCTCTCATTTTTCATGCATTCAGAACTTATCCACCACACTGCAGACCCTCGTATCTATCACTGCTCTTACATTAGTTACAACAGAGAGACTGTCATTTATACATACATACATACATACATACACTCATCCATATGTACATACATAGAAAAAGAGCTCTCTGGCTTAATAATTCATTAGGGTTCAGCCCTTTTTACAACACTGGTTTTCGTGCTGTTTTATAAAAGCAATAAAAGCAGCAGTAATACAGTTGACAGCTTGTTGTTAAATCAGCTAACAGGATTTTACAAAAGACAAAGACTTCCCTTCTGAAATCGCTGTGGCCTCTTGTGGCTTATTCTTTAATTTTCTGCTCCTACAGTCTCTCCTCTCTTCTCGCTCCCTCTTTCTTTCTTCCTTCCCTCCCCCTCTACATCTCCCTCCTACTCTCCTCCTCAGCACTGTGTTTTGATGTAATTGAAGAGGTGGTGGTGTGCAGTTCTCCCCCACAGCCAAGAGTCCGGAGAGCGAAACCTCTAATCAGTGATGTCAACAGCTCAGACTTTGCAGCGCTGCACCACCAATGCAGAGGGAAAGAAGATCGACATTTTGGACTCGTGAAATTATTGTTTGAGCTGCTGACACACAGATACACTTATTTCAGCAAAAACAAGAACATAGCGGCCCTTTGATGAATATGTCCAGAGTCTCCTCTTTCGCTATTAGTGTGAAGATGCTTGAGGCGATGAGAGCTGGAGGGCTGGAGAAGCCAGACACTATATGCCTGTTTTTTTCCCTAACAAAACATGTTCTTACACACTTGTCTTTTCATCTTTAGATCAGCAAAAACTTCCATTAAGCAGTCTATTTTTATCACTGTGTGAGTGGCAATCTTCCTTTGGTGCATTAACATTTAAATTAGCATTTAGGCGGTCACAGGTGCACATTTATTAGGCGTTTAACAACAGCTTTACATCATCCAATCAGAGCTGAGGACAAAGAGTTTACCGTTGTATAAGTCATAATTAAGATCGCAGTGTGCCACAGATGTCACACTCACTGATCCTTCTGGGGAGCACGAATCTATTTCTGACGACATAACATCTCATCTCTTTTTTTTTTTCCTTTAAGATAAAACTGCGGCTCTAAAATCACCTACCAGTCTGTATTCTGTGTGTGTTGTTGCTGTCTGCAGGGACAAACTGATGAATGAACATCAGCTAAATGAGAGAGAGGGCTCAGCACCGTCATCTGTAAAGCTTTGGCTCGGATGTCACAGTTCAATCACTATGGATTACTGCTTTAAGAGGGGCAGTCTGCCAAAATGGCCTCTGTGTGGATTTGAGTGTTTGTGTGCGTATCCTGTATAAATGCTCCATCTGCACAGCAGCTTTCTCTGTCTTATTTGCAGCATTTGAATGGTCGAACCCAAGAGTAATTAGATAACTTTGATTTCACAATAAACAAGTCTAGAAATTGACAAATTTATATTGAGATCAGTGAAAGATAACTGGTGTGGGTTCACAACCTGATGCCTGGGTATTGGCTTTTATTCAAAAAAAGACATGAATGTCGAGCTGGACCTCTTATTTTTGCCCAAACAGTGCCTGGACAGCACTCTTTGAATTTACAGATTGAGATTGTCTGAGGAGAAAAACACTTGCAAGGTCAGGTAGGACTGTTGGACTGGAACACCTGGCTACTAATCAGCTTTTAGAAATTTTAAAGATGGCTTCTTGTAAAGGGTTTTTCCTTACCAGACAGACTCCTTTAGTCCCAAATCTTCTAATTTGTTTGTGGAACTTGGGTTTGCAAACAGGCACAGCCATTCTGTGATGTCTTCTGGATTATCTAAATTAGTACCACAGGGTTTAAAGGGCCCAGTATGCTAAAATGTCTTTGTGTGGAGCAGCACTGAAAAATATATTTCGTAGGGTTTAGATTAGATTACGTTAGATAAAATTAGATTGGATTAGATACAACTTTATTTATCCTTTTGGGAGTTCCCTCAAGGAAATCAAAATTGTAATTGTACTCCTGAAAACACTAGTATGCCCCCTTTTAACAAATGTAACAGATGGCATCATGCATTGCTGAAGGTAATATATTTTATATCTAGCCTTGGCTCTGATTGTATGTAAAA